AGAATGTAAGACAAGCCCTTCCTTCAAAGAGTTCATGCTCCAGGCAGAAAAAGACCATAACCAAGTAAAGACATAATTTAAGATAGATTGACTGATAAATAAATACAGTGGCTGAAAGAAGCATCTTCAGAGGGGGAGAAGTGAGGAAAGGCAGTCAAAGACTGGTTTGTGGTGAGGTAAAGAGAGGTGCCTTGGACAGGTAATGCAGGGCCTTTAAGTGGGAGTGGAAGGGATATTCAGATTAAACTCCATGGCCAGTGAATGCTTTAAGCACGGCAATGATAAGATCTGACTTCGGTTTCAAATCATTCTGTCTGGCAGCTGGGTGAAGAATGGTTTTTAGGGGAGTAGGAGTAGATGAGATGGGGTCTCCGTGGTGGCCAGCAGGAGGCTGGTCAAGGGCTGTTGAGGATGACTGTGATGAGGTCTAAGAAGTAAACATTAGATATGACCAAAAGAGGGGTATCGTAGGGGTGACCAGATAGGAGTGATTCAGTGGCCCCATGGTAATGAGGGGAGTGGAGGCCATGACACTGGATCACTTATTGAAGTTTACTGTGGAGGGAAACAAAAGAATGGACCAGTCAGCAGTGAGGGTATGCAGTCAAGGGGGAGTTAATCTAAGCATATTCATATAAAAGCAGTTGGTTTCCTGGGGCTGTTATACCAAAGTACCACAAACTTGATAGCTCAAAATATTTACCTCCACAGTTCTAGAGGCCAAAAACCTGAAACCTGGTGTCAGCAGGGAGGGCCACACTCCCTCCAGAGGCACTAGGGGAAAAACTGTTCCATGCCCCTTCCAGCTCCTGGTGGCTACCCCAGCAATCCTGACTCCAGTCTCTGCCTCCGTCCTCACACGGCTTCCTTCTTTCTCTCTGCATGTCAATTTATAAGTATGTGATTGAATTTAGGGGCCACCAGATAACCCAAGATAAGCTCCTCCTCTAAAGATCCATATAAGGGAATACTCATTCTTTTACCATATAAGGTAATTTTCATAGGTTCCAAGGATTAGAACATGGACCTATCTTTTGGGGAAACCCCCACAACCCACTACAGTGGAATGATCTGGAATGAAAGAGAACACTAACGCGGAAGAGGGGCAAACCCAAGGACAGAAGCCCTTAGAAGAGCTGGATGGGTAGGGACAAGATGGAAAACCACCTTTCCCTACTATGTTTCAAAACAACAGTAAATGTGAATTTTATGGCATGAGAACTATAGCCCAATTAAGAAAAAAAAAGTTTATGAAAAAACATTCAGAATCCCCTGCCAATTCCCATTTTAGTGTTCAATCAGCTAAAGGAACTACATGGAGGTCAATTTTCACCCAAGGCACAAAGTCTTGCTAAGAAGTCTTCGATATCTACCTCACAGATTTGACATGTAAGGCACTTTGCCACATGTGGCAAAAGAGGCTGGGCAGGTGACAGGGTCAGAATCCATGACCATTCAGACAAATCCTACCCTTCTATTCTGCCATCTCAGCCAACCCACAGGCCAAACACCAGCTGTTTTTCCAGTGGAGCTGAAAGAGTGTTTTCCCGGGAGATGCAAAACCACAGCATCAGGGAAACTGAGTCCTATAGGAGACCTGGGTGTGTCACAGCTACAGGGAGCTGAGCTGGGGGTGTGGCACGCAGGGGAACAGGATTAGATTGGGGAGGAGGAAGTGTCCCTGCAGAAACAGCCCGAGAGTGAAGTGAGACCCAAGGAGCAGCAGTCGGCAGACACGCCCACTGCACACCCTGGCATGCACACCCCCACCTCTGCACATCCCCTCCTCTGACAGCCCTGGAGCCCCACACCTGGCTATGCTTCTTAGAAGAAGCAGGCTTTCTTCTGTTTGTGGCTAACACTCACTCAGAGGGGCCAAGGCCAGTGTCTGATGTCAACAGACACTCCTCCTTTTCAAGTCTGGGCAAAGTTGTCATTTTCGTGCCTAGCATCACCTCGAGGCTCCTCTTTCTTCCCACACTGTAATCTTTCCTCATGTTAATAAATGCTTTGATTGGGTGGCTGGTGAGGGCAGCGGTCTCTGCAGCCTGGAGCAAGCGACTCACCAGTGACCACACTTGCCTAGCACTCCGAGCCTTGGGGAACACATGTCCAAGCCCGATGCACCTGTGAATTGGGTGGAACCAAGGGCAAATCCAAGATCTGTTTTTGCCCAGGGTAAGAGGCATGCCTAAGCTTTGGCCCTCACTCCCCGGGTCTCACCTTCGTTTGTTACTGCTGCTTGCCTTTACGGGAGAGACTCCTCCTCCCAAACAGGGCACTTACAACTTTACTCCCACCTGGAGTTGCATGATTCCAATAATGGTCTCCAGCCGGTATCAATAAAGTGAGGGGAAGCCTCAGGATCCCCTGACTGTAGCAGAATTCTCAAACTTCGGTTGAGTCAGAAGTTCCAGATACTAGAAGATACTGATACTAGAATTCCACACACACTCCACCCCAGAGATTCTTTTTCAGGAGGGCCTAGTTGGCCCTGTGATCTGCATTTTAGCCAGCTCAGAGGTGGCCATATTCTCCAGAAGCAGGAAGTGCTGACACAGTGAGAGAAGAAGCCCCCCACCTCCTCCAGGCATCAGGACAACCAGGGTCACCTTTCCAGCCCACAAAGGTGGAGGCTGGTGTCCAGGACAGGTCACACTGCTATATGCTCTTCCCTCTCAAACACCTACATCTTTTTCTCCTCCCTTTAGCAAAAGCAAAGGAGAAATTAGGAGCCTATGATTTACATATCTTTCCCCTTAAGGTACTCACACCTATTTTTTTTTTTATTTTTTTATTTTTTAGAACTTTTTTTTTTTAAAGATTTATTTATTTATACAAGCACTGGGTACAGTCAGACGCACCGGAGGGTGAGAGAATTCACCAGAGCCAGAGCAGGGAACAGAACAGGCAGAAGGACCGAAGTACACTGCTGAGGGGAGCAGCGGGCGGCAGGAGAGGTCTGCGCGCCATGTGGGACCCTCCTCCGGTGGCCGGGGAACAGCCGGGGATCGACCCGGCGCTGCAGAGGCTGCGGGCAGCTTCACAACCCAGAGCTCAACCGCTGCGCCACCGGGGAGGCCCCTCACACCTATTTTTTTGTCAAGACCCACCCAGCACAAACCAGGACAAGAACTAACAGATTTAAACTTTCATGGAACTTCCTGCTCATAGAGCACTGGGGCTTTTCCCAGTAACTCCCACTAAGCTGGGGTCTCTCTGATCTCTGCCCGGAACAAGCCTTCCATGTGCAACTCAGGCCGAGGGGGTTATGACTGCCCTGCAAAGTCCCAAAGACCATCAAGTAACCAATATGAGGACCAAGAATCAGGAACGGCCACATAAGAAGAAAAACATCGCCCCAAATCTTGGAAATCCTTGAGCTTTGTACCACCAAATGGGATGCATGAGGCCTCCTGGTCAGAAGCCAAGGGCAGCAGCACGTGGAAAGGCCCAGACATGCAGATCAGACTCACAGCCTGGCCAAGCAGGAGGTTCCTGTTCCTTTTGGAACCCAGGACACAACCCACAGGGACCAGGCTCAACATGTCTGCCTGCTAAAAAGGCTCTGGAAGCATTCTCGCAGTCCCACAACCACCTACAACCACCAGTTGACTACAGGCACGATATACTTCCAGAAATGAGAATACACTTTCTGCCTGCCTCACAAACACTGATATCATACCCAGTCCTCCAGATGGCATGATGGCACAGTGGGAATGTGCTGCCACCTCTAAGTTCAAGTCCCCACTTTGACACTCAGTCCTGATGCACCATCCTAAACAAGACTCTAATCTCCCTGAGGCACCATCCCTTCATCTGTAAGATACAGGAAACAGTACCCACTCTCTGGAATTACTGCAAGGATCAAATGATCTAAGTTTAATATAAACTGCCTCACAGAGTGGACACTCTATCAAAGAATTCCTTTCCTTCCCTCCTACTCCTGTAACTCAGTTTCCCTGTCTCAACTCCAACCCCAAAGAGATCCCAAGCCCACCCAAGTCAGAAATGCCAAAAGGCCTATGCACAAAGATAGAGTAAATACTTTCAATAAGCCCCAAAGCTCCTTGATAGTCCTACTCTCAAGCTCTCAACTTTTAACTCACCAAAATTGAAGTTACACTCCCGTGGGTGGCTCCAACCCCTGAACCCATCATTTCCTAATGTGGGAGAATGAGAAGGCAAATAATTTCTCCAGTTTTCTGAATTCTTGGTGGCACTTCCCAGCCTGCTGGGACAGGACAGTGGAGGATAAACAAGGTTACACAAAGGAATGAAGTTCTAAAGCTGCAGGAAGTACATTAACACTTTTAATAAAAAGCATATAGGGGTGATGTGAGTCACTATAAAGCAGACAGAGGAATAAATGTCAGTAGCGTTCCCCAAAGGTCCCCCGCGCCCCCAGGGGACGTGCGCCCCAGTTGGATCGTGAGTAGTGTCCATTCGCACAGCGTTTAGTCCCAGCGTCCAAAGTCGCCCTGGAACCTCTCCGTCTCCCGGACACCCAGCATTCACAGGACCCAGTTTGGCCGCTGCAGATCCTCAACTACTCTCTGGGTACGCCCCGGGTGAGCCGGGTAGGAGGAAGCAGTTCTCCTGCAGCGGGGGAGCGAGGATCACCAAACTTCCAGCACCCCGTCCGTCCTCCACCCGCCCTTGGGATGGTGCTTTCCTGGGATTTTCCAGGATGCTTTGCCCAGCCCCCGAGGACAGCACTCTCAGAACCCCCTAAAACTGTCCCTCGGTAGAGAAGTCGGTAGAGACAAGCTCTCATCCGCACGCCCTGGGGTGTAGATGCCACCGGGGTCCCGCCCGGCGGCACTGAGAGAGTCTCTGGGGATGGCCGGAGCCCCCCAAGCTGGGCACCTAACTCAAAGCGCCCTGCGCCTCAGCAGCCTGACCCGTCGGGGGTCCCTAGGGTGGGGACCTCCCCCTGCAGGAGGTCCTTTACAGGTCTGTGGCAAGGACCCGGGGTGGAGGGAAGCCGCGCGCCTCACCTGAGCGGGACGCAGATGGCCAGGTACCTGTCGACCGCCACGGCCAAAAGGCTGAAGATGGAGCTCTGCGTGAGCACCAGCACGAAGCAGGCAAGGAAGAGGCAACCGTAGAATTCAATGTTGATGCCCAGGCTGATGATGATGGCAAACGGGATGGCGAACAACCCCACCGCCACGTCGGCCGCCGCCAGGGACACCAGGAAGTAGTTGGTGGGCGTCTGCAGCGTGCTCGACGTGCCCACCGCGGCGCACACCAGCACGTTGCCCGCCACCGACAGCGCGGCGATGGCCAGTTCCAGCGCCACGTACACCCAGTCCCCCGGTGTCAGCACCACGGCCGGGTTGGCGGGGCACCGGGCAGCCGCGTGGGCCCCGCCGGGCATGGCCGGAGCGCCCCGACCGCGCGGTCCGCCAGCCGCCGGTCTGACCCGCCAGACTCGTGCGCTCCTGCTCGGGCTCAGGGGGGCGGGACCACGGGGAGGCCGCCACGCCCATGGGCCCGCGCGCCCGCCGCTCTCGGAGCTCCCTCGGAGCACCGCCCCTTCTCTCCAGCCGGGCGGTGCCCGCCCCCGCCCCCAGCCGCGGCGGTCTGGTGGGTGCCTGGCGGGGCGCTGGCGTCGCACCACGAAAGGTTCTCGGGCTGATGGCGTCTGACGAGGACTAGTTCCCCAACTTTCCCTCATGCTCCAACTCCGTGGGTGTGTCCCGAGTGGTCGCACTTTTCTCCCAGCAGCTCCTGGGACTGGATTTCGGCTTTGCCTTGGGCACCCGTTGGTCTCACGGAGCCCACCTCAACGGCACTCCCTACCCCATTCCGCCGCTCCACCGCCCACTCCACCACCGGGCGAGGAGACTTGAGCACCTGAAACCTTTGGGAACTCCCCCTCCCGAACCCTGGGTACTCCATTGGGCACGCAGGGCTCCCCAAGCAAACTGGACGCCTTGGCGCCAAGAGTGGGAGGGAAGGAACCGAGCTCGAAGGCTGTTTCCAGCCACACATTCCCACCTGACCTATCCGGTGCCCCCCCCCCCAAGGCTAGAATCTTTCCGGGATGCTGCAGCTCTGCACCACCCCACCCCTGCCCTGGGCGCCAGCCACCTCACCCTCACCTGCTCTTCCACCCGCGACCAATGTCCAGGTGGATCCAATTCTGCCTTCTCTACATTCACCTTGGCCCTCACTTCCTCCCTAACCCCCTAAAATGCCAGTGTTCCTCAGGCCACGTTTATGTTTCATGGTCACTCTGAAATGGCTCAGGCTCAAGGCCTCACATGTGACCTTTACACCCTTAACTCCTAAACCTTTCCCCTCCAGCCCCAAGATCCTCTTGAAAACCAGACCTGAGCACCCCCAGCCACTGCTGGACTCCACCAGGAATATCTGGGGCCCCCAATTCCGCAAGTTCAAAATCAAACTGTTTCGGGGCCTCCCTGGTGGCGCAGCGGTTGAGCACTGGGTTGCGAAGCTGCCCACGGCCTCTGCGGCGCCGGTTCGATCCCCGGCTGCTCCCCGGCCACCGGAGGAGGATCCCACATGGTGCGCAGACCTCTCCTGCCGCCCGCTGCTCCCCTCAGCAGTGTACTTCGGTCCTTCTGCCTGCTCTGCTCCCCACTCTGGCTCTGGTGAATTCTCTCACCCTCCCGCGCTTCTGACTGTACCCAGTGCATGTATAAACAAAACAAACAAACAAATAAAATAAATAAATAAATAAAACATGCCTCTATTAAAAAAAAAAAAAAAAAAAAAAAAAAACAAAATCAAACTGTTTCAACTCTCCCCCAAACCTGTGCCCTCCCCTAAGTTAATGACCTTACTACTCACCCCTCCATCCCCAAGAAGTGTGCTCCTCCTCCTTTATCCACCCCACATCTAAATTGCCACTGATTCTGCTTCAGGGCTTTGCTTCTCTTCACCCCCAAAGCTATGTCCTAGGCCAGTCCCTCCTCACAGACAGCTCCCTCCCATCTCTCTCCTTTACTCCTCCCTCACTTCCAATTCCATCAAGCTTTTACAATCTTCGGCAGCACCCTCATTCTAGAGCACACCTGACATGCAACATTTCCCTACCAACATCCTTTGCTAGCAGTCATCAGATAAAGTAATTAACATTGCCAGACACCAGGAACAGATGCTTGTAAAATAATATCAAGCAAAAAACATGGAGGTGACAGCTAATGGGCAGAGGATTTCTTTTAGGGATGATGAAAATATTCTACATGTGGTGATGGTTGCACATCTGAATATATTTTAAAAACTATCCAATTATAGCTGCAATGTAAAGCCCTCAGCCTCCAGCCAATTAACAACAATCAATGAAGACATGACCAAGATGTACCATATAACAAGGGCAACAGTTTCTCCAAAAGCATTTCCAGTAGATGTCCTGGCTGGGTGATGTTATAAATAGGGGATTTTTCTCTATATGTTTTTCCATGAAGTTTGGTTACTTCTATAATGCAAAAATGATGTTAAAATTATCAGAGAGCCCACAAATTCTATTCACTGGCTATCTGAGTTCTGATGTCACTTTCTCTACCACCCATGTTTCCATTGCACTTGTCACAAGCTATTGTTACCACATAGATGAATAAACCAGAAACTTAGATCAAGGAACTATCCAAGAGCACTTCCTTGGGGTTCACTGGAGTGAGTTAAGGGAGTATTCCTGGGGAGGTGGCTTTTGCAGAGTAGGAAAAACTTGGCAATGGGGAGGTAGCTGGGAAGGGGAGTCATGCTGGGCAGAGGTGTGGGCAAGGGGTTTGCTGGGGACAACTATGCCCAGGAGGGTAGAGAAAGGAAGACTGGCTTAACCAGGGAAGCCTCCCACTGTCTGGATGGATTGTTGGATCATTCTGATGGAGGCTCGGAGCACTGGAGACTTGGAAGTCTTTGAGCAGGGAAGGATAGAATTATCTGGCAGCAGTGAGGGAGAGTTGGCAGCAGCAGAGGAGGCAGCAGGAGGGAGGCCAACTGGTTGCTGTGAGTGCTTCCTGCATACCCCGCAGCCTCCTGGCTGTGGACTCAGCGCCAACATTTTCTATGCCTGGAATCCCCATTTCTACTTTCCTGAGTCCAACATCCTTCAGGAAAAGTTGCCCAAGTCACCCAAGGAGGAAGGGTCCTCAAGAGCAAGTCTGAACAAAGTCATGGGGGTTGTTTTAAAAGTCACTGGGGTGCAGTGAAGAGAGTTCAGGCCTCAACAAGAGAGAACCAGGTTCATTGCCAACTCTGAGAATGCCCTCGGATGAGTTATTTAATCCTCCTAAGCCACAGTTTCTTATGCATGAGACAGGATAACAATACCTACCTTGCAGGGGTCAGGCTAAAAAGGGACAGGAGGAGCTGTCTGCCATGTGACTAACTATAGGATCCAGACTTCTTGAAAATTATTGGAATGATAGGAGCATTTGGATAAATTCAGTCTAGAGTCCTAGAAACCAGAGTAGGTCTGTAATTGGTGAAAATGGAAGGCTACATTCTGTTAACCGATTACTTTCTGTAGACCTTTTCCAGGCTGCCCAGGCCATCCTCCCATCTCCCCACACCTGCCCCATCTTGCCTAGGTGCCACAGCAGAAGCCAGGTGGCATCTGGATGATTCCAGGTTAGGTGCATCACTTAGATGCTCCTAAGTGCACCTAAGTGAATCTAAGTGCACTAAGTGTATCTAACAGACCCAGGCTGTTTTTTCTGCTCTTCCATCTTTCATTATAGGATTATTATGATAAAACATTGTTGAGGAAATAGCAGTGCGGAGATGCAATGTATTTGTAAGGAGGGAAGGGAAAAGTTAAGTGCAGATGACTGAGGTGGCAATACCAGTGGAGGCTACCAAGACACCGGCCAAAGATGTAAAAAGAAAAATCAGAAAGTAAGATGTCCATAAGGGAAATTGAAAAACTCTGACATATTCCTGTAAGTATAAAAAGTAATATGCATGTGCATATGCTCAGGAAAGCCCTGCAAAGTGCATAATCTCTTACTCTGGGCTGTTTGGGGGGGCTCTGTATAATCAAGAAATAAAGTTGAAGCAGAATTTTAAGCTATCTGCTGGAGCATTGAAAGTGCTCCCCAAAAAACACAGTGAGCTTTTCTGCAAAGGCTGAAAGACCTATGGGTTTATTTAAGAGCCACCACACACAACTGATGGGTGGCACCGCTGGGTCTTCAACCAGGTCTGTGTGCATTCCGGCTGCTCCTCTTGGCTATGTCCATACCATATTTGACATTGGATCCTCAGTGAAGGAAAAGGCACTGGAAAGTCTTTCTTATACATGCTACTTCCAGTGCTGATGGTCTTTAATGATATTGGTACATCACACATGAAAGTGTTCTGGGGAGGATGTCTGGATTGGGGTAAAGGGTTGTCCTTTGGGTGAGCCCTTAGTGAAGGAAAGAGGTTGAAATGCTAGGCTCCAGAGGAAAAGTGCCCAGCCAGGTAACGTGGAAATTGAATCTGGACTGATTTCTCTCCTCTTTTCCTGTCTGTGTGGCCCCAAGATTATGCAGAATTCTGCTGCTCTTGCTCATGGTTCAGCCCAGTACATTCCCCCACAACCCAGATGCCTTTCTTTCAAGGAAGGTGTGGGAATGATGCTGAAGTTTTGCTTCCAGGTCCCATGCAGGCTGATGGCTTTTCTCTCCTGCCACCTGTGAACCTTTGGCACCTTCAGTTTCTTTTCTGGGAAGCTTGTTCTATTTTCCACCAAATGCTTAAGCTGCAAGCTCAGGTCCTGGTGGCCTATCTCTGGAGACATCTGCAATTCCTTTCTTTGAAATGAGCTGATTTCAGAGACCTCAGGTGCAAAATGCCATTTTTCACCAGTATGGTTGGCAAAAACACATCATTTGAGGAGACTGAAGAAATTATCAGGAAACATTTTAGACTCCCTTAATGAGGTCTTCATCACATATTTGAGTTAGTCACTCTACATTTATAACTCATTGCACTGTTCCCATGAGAAATATGGGACATTACCTCAGGCCATGTGCTCAGTGCCAAGACTTAGGAGTTTGTGGCAATGTACTCTTTGGCTCCCCAACAGTAATCCCCCTTTCTGGGTTGCAAACAGTACCCCAGGATGGCAGTAACATGCACAACCCAGAGGATAAATCATCATGCCTCCATGCCAATCACATTCGCTTTTGCCAGCCTAAGGGGTAGGCATATGACCAACTTTGGCGAGTAAGATATAAGGGGAATTATGCACTCAGCTTGGCATCTCCTTTTCTTTCTACATTGAACACTGCTGTATGAAGAAATGTTATCTAGAACTATGGCAGCCATCATGCAACCACGAGATGACAAATCTAGAGTGAACACCAACACTTTGGAGGGATGGGGAACAAAAGTGGAAAGATCTTATGTCCCTAATCATATCTTTGACTCTTCCTAATCAACCACAAAAACAATTTTCTCTGGACTTCTTGTTTGATAACACTATAAATACCTTTAAGTCTGAAGTTACTGCTGTGATGCTTTCTGGAACTCGTAGCAAAGCATCTTACAGAATTCACAGCTACACAAATATGTAGGTCAAGGAAACCTTAGTTCTTGACCTATCCATTCATTGGGAACCTCATGGGGGAGAGAAGGATGGTTGGAACCCCATAATCTACTCCCCAGGACAGAGCTCCCTGCTGGACGGGGACCATCATCTCACCTCTGACCTTTGTTCCCTTG